CGCCTGGGTGGCAGGTGCCGGAGGGGCTGTAGCCTGGCTCCGAGGCCGGGGCTGCGGCTGTGGGTGTGAGGCCACCTGGAGGGCGACCCCAAGGGTCTGGGCTCGAGCCGGAGACGGCGGCTGTGGTTCACCGCGACGGCGTGATGGCGGGGCAGGCCACGGGGCTCGATCAGGACAGCGGCTCGTGCTGAGAACCCCCATTGACTGGGAGACGGCCGCGCACCCCTCGGGACGTGGGAGCAGGAGAAGAGCCTTCCGACCCGAGGCTCGGGCCCTGTAGGCGGCTCAGTAGGCCTCCCCCGCCCAGCGTCCCCAGAAGGTCGCCACCACCCCCGTGACGGGCGGCACAGCCGTGCTCCGTCCAGGCCCTCAGTCCAGGCCCGCGGGCCGCACCCCACCCCGGGCAGACCCCCTCCCGCACGGTGACTTTCTCCCTCGGGTCTGGGGCCTCCTTGGCCGGCGCCCCTGGGCCCGTGGCCGGCAGACAGCTTGAACCTCAGCTCTGGGCTGGTCTATTTCCCTCACGTCCACGGGCCTCGGGAAAACTAGGGCACCAACTTTTATGGCCATGAAGACTTTCCCAGAATGTTCTGTGCACTTTAGGGGCTGTGCGACCTTAACCCCCAGGCAGACACTGTCCACCCCGCCCCCAGTACAGCGGGACGTTCTCGTTACAGATACGCTCCGGAGTTTCGGTTCCTAAATACCGGCTTGCTGACGGGGGCTGGGTGCTTGCACCGCAGTGATTCATGGTTCCGAGCAAGGCCTGGGAATCGGCATTTAGAAAATGGTTTCCCAGCCCCCCCACCCCCGGCATGTCATCTCCAGACAGGTTTGGGAGAGCTTTCAGTGTAAGAGGGGAGGGCGTCCTAGCCCCCACAGAGGTTCTCTAACTCCTTGCTTAAACAGAACGATTAGTACAATCTCTAGCCGACCGGGGCCAGGCAGCCCGTCACACATGCCAGGTTGCACAGAATCTATTTGAGGACAGAGAAGCAGGGGATGGAAGGAAGACCTCTGGCCTCTGCCCTCACGAACTCGAGCCTATTTGGGTGAGACAAGGCTGTCACAAATGTGGAACAGGTAAGAGCCTTTCTAGAGCAGATACAAGTCAATGTATATTAACGTTCCGCGAACAGAGGGCGTGTGGCTGGCAGGCAGGGTAGAGGCGGAGCAGGGCTGAGTCTGGAGAAAGAGCACGAGAGACTCCAGGTTGGGGAGACGCTCATGTTTACACCCAAACTGTTGGTCCATCTGCTTCTGTCACTTACGGAGCCGTTCTCCGGAGAGAGGTGCCCGGGTTGGGGTGCAGCTGCCAGGCTGCAGCGGGGCGTGGTTTGCAAGGCACTGTCTCGAGCAGCAGAAACAACTCCCTGCCCGCCTTGGAGACAAGCCGGGGCATCGGAGTGGAGGAGGCCAAGGTTGTGGCCTGGAAGGCGGCTGGGCCGGTCAGCGCTGCAGGGAAGTGAGACGCCCTTGGCCAGCTGGCCGCGTGTCCCTCTTGCTGCAATGCGTTCCTCACCCTGGACAGACCCTGTCCCGGGTACCCAAGCCCCTTCCAGCGCCATTCGTGCCCCCCCACTTCCCCAAGAGAGGGCTTTTCCCCACCCGTCCCCACCGTGAAGGGCGTCCGCGCTCACAGCGGAGAGAGGCAGGGCCCCTCCAGCCGCAGGCCATCGCTGTGGACTGGGTGTGTTTGCTGCAATCCAGGACCTCCCAAGCTGGCCTGCGTATCAGAATCCTCTGTGACCCTTGTTCAAAACAGATTTCTGGGCCCCAAACGACAGCTATTGAATCAGAATCTCCGGAAGAGAGGCTTTTGAAACAAACCAACTCTTTGGACCGGGTGAATTTGGGAAGCCTCAGTAAGTCACACACCCCCTCTTACCCACGGGTGACCCAGGCCACCCTCACCCATGGGTGACCCCATTCATGACTGGGCTGGGCTGAGGCCCACATTCCGGAAAAAAAAATTTTTTAATGTGTTTTTTTGTCTAAAGATCAGTAGTGATAACAATAATTACTAACCTTTATCACCTGTGTGCCAGGCACTATACTGGGGTCTTTTTTTTAAATGAAGAGCTGGAATTATAGTTTTTCTAGTTTTACTGAGAAATAATTGACATACATCAGTGTCTACATTGAAGGTGTACAGCATGATGGTTTGTTTTCTATACATTGTGGAATGATTGTGACAGTAGACTTAGTTAACACGTGTCATCTCATAGCGACAGTGTGAAAAAAGAAAAAAATTATCCTTGTGATGAGAACGCTTAGGGTTTACTGTCCTAACAGCTGTCACATATAGCACACAGCAGTCATCATGCTGTACGCTACATTCCTAGTATTTATTTATCTATAACTGGAAGTTTGTACCTTTGACGCCCTCCCTCCTGTTCCCCCACCACCATCCCCCGCCTCTAGTAACCACAAATCTGATCTCCTTTTCTGTGAGTTTGGTGGGGGGTTTTGTTTGTTTGTGTCTGGTTTTGGATTGTTTTAGATTCCACATAGCAGGGAGGTCACTTGGTATGTGTCTTTCTCTGTCTGACTTATTTCACTAAGCATAATATGCCCTCCAAGTCCATCCATGCTGTTGCAAATGGCAAGATTTTCTTCTTTATGGCTAAATAATATCCCATTGTAGATAACGTACACCACATCTTTCTTTCTCCATTTGTCCGTTCACGCATGGACACTTAGGTTGTTTCCACGTCTTGGTCATTATGAATAATGCTGTAGTGAACGTATCCTTTGGATATGTTCCCAGAGGTAGAATTGCAGGAGGGTATGGTAGCTCTATTTTTAATTATTTTGAGGAGGCTTCATTCTGTTTTCCACAGCGGCTGCACCAACTTACATTCCCACCAGCAACGCACAAGGGTTCCCTTTTCTCCACATTCTCACCAACACTTGTTATCTCTTGTCTTTCTGATGATGGGCATTCTAACAGGTGTGAGGTGATATCTCTTAGTTTTGATTAGCATTTCCCTAATGATTAGCGATGTTGAGCATCTTTTCACGTGTCTGTTGGCCGTTTGTATGTCTTCTTTGGAGAGATGTCTATTCGGGTCTGGTTTTCTAAAGTTTTTATTTGGTTGCGCTGGGTCTTAGATACAGCATGCGAACTCTTAGTTGTGGCATGCATGGGGGACCTAGTTCCCTGACCAGGGCTCGAACCCGGGTCCCCTGCATTGGGAGCGTGGAGTGTTAACCACCGCGCCGCCAGGGAAGTCCCTGTCTGTTTTTTTAATAGGATTATTTGGGGTGTTTTTTGTTTGTTTGTTTGTTTCGCTATTGAGTTGCATGAATTCTTTATATATTTTGGATTTTAATCTCTTATCAGATATATGGTTTGCAAGTGTTTTTTTTCCCATTTTGTAGGTCATCTTTTCACTTTGTTGATGGTTTCCTTTGCTGTGCAGAAGCTTTGTAGTTTGATGTCGTCCCGCTTGTTTATTTTCTATTTGGTTGCCGTTGGGGGGAGTGGCTTTTTAAAAACTGTTATCGCATGTAATCCTCCCGATAACATAAAGGAGCGCGTGCTCCCACTGCCCCGATTTTTTCAGACAGTGGGGCACAGAAAGAAGGGAGGTTAAGCAACTCGCCCAAAGACACGTGCAGAGCTCGGTCGGAACCAGACTCCCGACCCGGGGCCCCTGAATTAACTCACTCACACTCTAATTGTGAGCTGGCCAGCCAGGTCCCACCACCACGCTGCCCCAAGGACAGGGCCAGGAGGAGGGCGTTGCAGCCGGTCCCAGAGCCCCTGGTGGGTGGGGCAGTGGGGCGAGGTGATGGAGGCTCACCCCGCCCGCCGTCCCCAGGTACTGGAACTCCCTGAGCAACCTGGTGGCGTCCCTGCTG